GCTAGGAGGGTGAATAGCTATTAATGGATACTGTGAGTGATTAACAATGGGTTGCATATAATAGCAGACTGAGTGACAACAAGGCCTGGTGTGGGGGAATTCGGCTAAGGGCATGGGAGAGCTCAAGCCTGAAAGTTGTTGAACTCGATATGAGACTAAAAGGCTACAAGGTGCCCAAGCGGAAGATGAGGTGCTGTTCTTCCAGCTTGCACTGAGCTTCACTGGAGACAGAGATGCAGGCCAGAGAACAAGGCGGTGTGTTGAATTGGCAGGCAACTGGAGACTCTGGATTTTTTTTTTTTTTTTTTTAAAGGACATACGTAGGTATTCTGTGAAACAGTCGTCCAGTACATGCTTTATTTCCCCAATGTAGAAGAGACCACTTTGAGAGCAGCAAATGCAGTAGACTAGATTGTGTGAAGAGCTGCTTCACGTGGACGGTTGCAAGAACTGCAGATACTGGAGTCAGAGTCAATACAGTGTGGAGCTGGAGGAACACAGCAGGTCAGGCAGCATCAGAGGAGCAGGACAATCAACATTTCGGGTTGGGACCCTTCATCTGGACTGGACTTAGTCCTGATGAATGGTCCTAACCTGAAACATCAATTCTCCTGCTCCTCTGATGCTGCCTGACCTGCTGTGTTCCTCCAGTTCCACGCTGCTTCACCCGGATGTTGTGTTTGGGTCCTTGGATACTGAGGAGGGAGAAACTGGTTGTGCGTGCACGTGCATGTACGTGCACATATTTACAACGCTTTCTCTTTGTTGTAAAAGATCTAAACACAGTCCAGCATTGTTCTAATCAAGTGGTTCCAAGCTTCAAGTTTTCTCAAATAAAGAAAACTACACTTCCAAAAACATCTTCAAACATTTGAGATAACAAGGTGTAGAGCTGGATGAACACAGCAGGCCAAGCAGCATCAGAGGAGCAGGAAGGCTGACGTTTTGGGCCTAGACCCTTTTTCAGAAATGCAGCATTCTCAAATTGAAGTGGTTTCACAGGTTGAAAGAGAGGATCCTTCTCTTTGTTCTTAGCAAGCAGGAAGTATACTTGCGTGCTTCAGGATACAGGTATCACACATGGTGCATGAATGCATTAAATCTCTTAATTTTATAAAGTCAAACAAAATTAAGCCCGATTGTGAAACAGATGAATTGAGCAATTTATATATTCAATTCAGCAACCTGTAATTATTTTGCACCTTTAATAGGAATCACCCCAAAAGGTATTTGCCACAGGAGGGTTAACCAAACAGAAATTTGATACTGATCTATCTAAGCGATCAAAAAATAGTCCAAAAGCTTAGAAAAAGAGGTAATGTTTAAGGAACCTCTTAAAAAGGAGATAGAGGTATTAAGAAGGGAATTCTAAAGGACAGAACTGAGGAGGTGACACGGCCATAAATGACCAAGTGATGAAAATAGAAGGCTACAAAAAGCGAGATTTGAAGGAACACCAAGATCTTAGCGACTGGTTGTTGTTTTGGGGCTGTGGGAGAAGGAAGGAAGAGACAGACAGTTGCAGGCTGAGGAATGCCTTTGAAAACACATTTCACATGATCCTGTATTTCAGCTGTCATACTTCTACACCTGTCATAAGCTAGAACATTATGGAATTCCAAAGTGAGGGACAGCCCTTGACATTAAGGCAGCATTTGTCCAAGCATGTAGTCAATGAATCCTAGCAAAACTCTCCACTGATTGGAGTCATACCTAACAGGAAGGAAGGTGTTGCAGTTGTTCAAAGACAAAGACAATCACCACAGCCAAAGGACACCTCTGCATGAGTTCCTCGGGGTAGTGCCCTTGGTCCAACCATCCATTTCATCAATGCCAGTCAGAAGTGCTGGCGTTTGCTGATGACTGAACAATTTTTGACATTGCTCACAAATCCTCAGATACTGAAGCAGTCCATGCCCAAATGCAGTAAGACCTGGACAACATTCAGGCTTGAGCTGATAATTGGCAACTAACATTCACAGCACACAAGTGTCAGTCATTGACCATCTCCAACAAGAGAGAATTGCCCCTTGACATTCAATGGAATTCTGTTGCAGAATCAACATCCTGGGTGTTACTATTAATCAGAAACTGAACTGGACCAGCCATATAAATGCAATGGTTACAACAGCAGGTCAGAGGGGAAGAATCCTGAGATGAGTAACTCACCTCCTGACTCTTCAAAGTCTGTCCACCATCTACAAGTCAGAAATATGGAGAATTTTCCACTTGTTCAGATGACAGCAGTTCCAACAATAGTCAAGATGCTCAACACTAAGCTAAACTACAAAAACTGCATCGCTTTTCCAAGTTAAGTCCAGCTTCTGCATTTATCAAGATATACGAGTCAGACATTTTAAATTAATAAGTTTTGTCCTCCCACTTCGAAAATACTGACACAGTGAAGAATGAGAAAATAAGTGAACAGCAGCTCAGGGAATATTTCTTATTCTATTTGATGTCACATTTCATGGTACAGTTACACGTGAGGCAGGCTTTCACCATCTGAAAATAAGGTACAACGCATTCTGGTCAACTGTCAACAAGCTCTCAAAATTGATACATGAAGATGTCACATTTGAGAGAACTGGTCAAACAGCAAAATAATTTTGAAACAGAAATACACGAAACTTATCATTTAACTTATTAGTGACAGAGTGAGATTTCAGCTTGACAATGAAGGGGAGGTACATGGGTGGTGGTTCCTCCACAATGCCAGTTTTATATTCAAGCAGCTAGTTAAAAATCCCCTGTACAGGGTAAGCTCTGGTTGTTGCTGGTTGGGGGAATGTGTAAAGATATCCGATGGCTAGTTTGGCAAATGTCTCTCTTCCACCAGCACACAGACACCTGTCAAGGTACACAGATCGACAATCCACGTTTTAGGGACAAGGCCCAGTACGGTATAGACACTGAGTTACTGATTCCACATAGCTGCACATCACAGAGAGAAATGGTCAACCACTGATGACGTGAAATGCTCTTTGCTCAACAAATGGACATTCTTCACATGTTCTAACTTTAAAAGTGCTAACAGGTTCATGGAAATATCCTGCTTCCATGGGCTAAGGCTATTGTTTCTTTTTCAGCACCACACAGATACTGAAGCAAACATAATTGATAGTAATAAATTTCCTATTATGGAAATACCTACTTTAAACTATTGAAGTAGGTATCTAAAATATTACATTTAATTAAGGAAACACTGTCAGCAAGCTTATAATCTCCTACTTGAATTGGCCCACATATACCAAACTTGACATCTTATAAATTTCAACTGATTTACTGCTTTGTTTTAACACCAATTTCTTTCCCAGAAGGGACTCACTCTAGGGCTGAAATTTTATCAAGTCTAGCAGCCTCCCAGCTTGCCACCCAATGAGATCTCAAGGAAGTATTCCTCACAAGCTGAGCACTGGCCAGCTGTTCTGTCCCAGAAGGTGTGATAGCCAAACCTGATTCCTGTCCATGTCCAGAGCACACTTGTGCCCTTTTCAATTGGCATCCCGTGACTCCAATCAACTTCAGTAATCATTGATAATTTCCCCACCAATAATGTTACCAACAGGGATTAGCGATATTAGCTCAGACTGAGATGTTCCAATCTCACTTTCCTGAACATCTTTCTACATTTTTTTAACCTTAACTCTTCATTTTTGCTTGAACTTGCTCTGTTTTCAAGGTAGTTGTAACTTTTTATTAACAAAATGGTCTGGTGGGGAAGAAAGGTTCTTGCTACAGAAATTCCACAGTATCTGCTCCTGTGAACTTAGTCTTCCCTGTGCCTTAAAAACAAGGAGGATAAGCCTTATTTTTAAAATGGCATTATGCAATAAAAAGGACACAACAAGCAAGGAACTTTGTGCAAAGATGCTGTGTTATCGGTGTAATTGAATAACGTGGCTTTCAATAACAAGTAGACTTGCATCCATGTCAATACACGGTGCAAAATGAAAGCTATATCCATAATTATGAACTCTCATCATTGACAAGGCAATTGCAGTCCAGACAATCAAATTCATCCACGGAACTTGGGTAGGGTTAATTTTACAAAATAACAGTTTTTGTTTAAATAATTCTCTTTTGATTAAGCCTTTGTAAAATGCAAAGCACTCAATTTATTTCCGTGAACTCACTAAATAATATTTTGAACAAGCTAATGGCCCTTTGAAATATCTACAGACATCTGACAAAGACTAGCATGAGAGCACCAGGCCTCATCAGCAATGGAGCAGAAATCCTTGGCTTCCATTCAAACCAACTGGATGGTCAAGCTGCAGACTATCAGGGATCAAGCTGCCGGAGTGGGAAGTTGGGTCACTGGATTCATCTGCCACAGTCAGTGAATGGGTTACTTCTCAATTCACCTTCCATATTGGTTCACACATGCACC